ATATTGAGAAATGCCCCACAATCTCCAAATAAAAACAAAAATACTGGCATCTGCCTGTATTCCTCTCATTCTCCCAGCAGATACATTAATGGTATCAATTTAAAAGTTCTAAATAGCCACATTCTGGACTTATCCCATTCACAAAAACTTTGACCTTGGGGACGAGATCGCTGTGATTCAAACTCGTCTGAGATTTTAGTAGATACACCTATGCTTTCAATTTAAAGCTCCTACATTGCCTCATTCTCAAGTGATCGCATTCACAAACTTGTCCACTCGCCCACTTGCCCACCCGCCCCATCGGCCTTGTACGCCTGAGACGCAAAGTGTGGATGGGGAGTCACAACTAGGGCAAGACTGCAAGTCTGACATTGATGATGTACTGCAGTATGTTTTTACCTGTCCAGGTAATGGGAGTTAAAGCTGATCTGGAAAAACACTAACTTATTAACAAGACTTTTACTCGATTAAAGGGACAGTATATAGCCGAATTAAATTTACATGATATATCCCTCTGCTATCTACTCTCCTTGCAGTAATACTGCAAGAGGGCTTAATTGCTTATTGCTTATTGTATATTTGATGAGGTGTGGACATGGGCATCCCCAAGGTCCACTTGGACTAGACTTTTTGCCAGATCTCATTGTGGGCTGTAAGCTTTAGCTGAGATTTTTATGTCATCTTTAAAAAGGCAACGTTTCTACAAACTCCGTAGACTCCGTTTTTACTTTATGTTGTGGCTTTTGAATCAAACATATTTTACTTGGCTTGTAGTGTTGTTTATCCATTTATGTTATTTTGGGGTGAGCGGCTGAGGTTTGGCAATGTTAGTTAAAAAATATATATTTGACATTTGCTTTGCATATTTTTGACAGTAACAACATCTTTTTCTAGTAGCCGTCAAAAAAACTTTGTTGTGTTTTTCCAAACTACAGCCACCACACAGGCCCTGCATCCACCTACCCAGAATGAGAAACACATTAACGCTGGAATTGAACAGAAAAGTATTTCTTTGATTCTCTGATCACCAAATGCTCATCTGTTTTATTAAATTCAAGAGAAAGCAGACATCTCTACAGCCTGATATCTCCCAAACTTTGCAAGCACACCACTGCACTAAACACTGATATAGTACTAAGGGGAAAAGAGTCACCTTTCCCTGAGCAGAGAAGATCATGGCCAGATACCACTCTCAAGCTGACGTCAGTGAATGACAAAGAGAAGAAATGAATCTCTGCAGGATGCTGGTGTAAAGATCATTCACACATGAACATGGCTTCCAAGCAGAAATGCTCCCTGCATACTTCTAAATAATTGCGCTTGCTTTGGTTAAATTTTAACCTTCATATGATTTCAGGGGACAGCAGGTTCTTCACAGCAAGTATCTTCTTCTTCTTTAGGCAATATTTTAACCATAAAATCTAATATTGAAAGTCTTCAGATTCTTTACTGATTGTAACTTCATACAAAAGAACACGTCTTAACTAAAGAGCCAGTATTGGCTCTCCATCCTTGGGTCTTAAAGTATTCCATTATATAAACATCTCGAGTTAACTGTTTCCTGTTGCTTGTGAAGATATACAGGACAGATCCCGGCTAAGAGAAGCTTCATGATTACAGCCTTGCAGCTCCCTGACCACACGGAAACCATGATTGTAGATCTGATGTGTATATATAGCCCTGACCCACTCCTTAATGTTGTGTATTGTGGATGGTTGAACGCCCTGGCCCTGAAGTCTGCAACACTGAATAGGGAGTATTGCAGCCAAATTATACACCACACATATGACATTTGGTACTGGTTTTGTCATGGGTCTATCCTATTTGTTGACACAAAAAAAGGAAAAAACAGAAAAAATATTTGGCATCACAACTCATAAAATACTTCCATGTGATTTTTTGCTTTCATTAATTTGTCATCAGTCGTGTCTGCGAATTGCCCGAGGGTATAACGTGCAAATAAATTCCAATTAGGAGCTCCCAATTAATTAAGCTTTTTAAAGTTGAATATTTTCTATAGAGAGAAATGGAAATCTACAACTTTAAGATCAAACTTATCAGTACTGATGAACAACAGAAAATCCAGATTTTTATTCCTCGTTCACACATTCATCAGGACCGCCTAAGCCTCTGTGCTGCAGTGCACTACTTTAGTCTACGCTGCCTTAAAACAAATTAAATTCCAGTCAGGTCGCAACGGCCAACACATAACCCAAACAAATGCACCACATCCACTTTGTTAGTTCCAGCTTCCAGGGAGAGCAAACCAGGACAAACAGTCCTCCAAAACAAAAGGTTGATTCTTACTTGGAGAAAAATAAAATATTTTCAGTGCCATAAAGAAAATGAAAACAAGATGAGAGGCAGTGATGTTGTGTGTGTGTGTCGTCATTTATTTATTTACCTCTGAGTTGAAGCGGATCTGGCAGACGTTACAGGAGATGACTGGTCGCTTGGTCTTGATCAGAGGAACTCCAAATGTGTGGTTGATCACAGCCTTTTGCACCGGGTCCATCTGCCAGAGTGAAAGACAGAGAGCAGCTATAATTCACACTGGTGCCACAGCTCAATGGGCCAAGCTGTCATAACGTGCAATAGACTGAACCAAAATGACCACATGCAGAATGCATAAGGTTCACAGTTAAAGAGCGGTTACAGAGTCTGTTCGATGGTATCTGTAATTCCCTTCAGCAAACAGTGTTGACAGTTTGTTGCTACAACCGAGACACCTGTTGCATCCCCGCGATTAGGACTCTGATGGTTCTGGATCCTCACTACATTGTAGCATAATACTGTCCCTGTGCTAATTGCTTCAGTTGGGACATCCATCATCTCTGTGGTGTTAAGCACCTTGTATAAATTTAACTAACTTGATTAGCAGCCCTCAGCAGTTAAGCTGCCCGTATAAATTCTGTCCCAGACATAAAAGACCCGGCCCGTACTGGACTGTTTGTGTTTGAAGCCGAATTTATCAAGCAATCACTGTTGGTTGACCTTAGCATTACTCTGGATTCAGTGGCTGGCTTATATTTCGACCTCAACTGTCTACAGCTAAAGTAAGCAACGATCATAAACAAAGACTGATGTAGCAGTGCGCGGGTATGCAAGAAGAATGAAGCAAAACAATCCGTGGCCTGAAGAACAAAAGGATGCAACAGTTTGTATTTTGAATTCAAAAGACAGCGAGGAAACGTTCAAGTGTGTCCACCAAGAGTAATGAAAGCATAATGCAGTGCCAGGCAGATGCAAAATAACTCACTTTTGATTCATTACTGTATTTTGGACTATTTACTAAGCTTTTCTTTAAGCCTTGTTACACTGAGAGGCCCAGTCTCATCCAATATAGAAGCAGCTCAACATCCCGAGGAGTGAAGGACAGGATAGAAGGGGCTTAAACAAATATTGTTGTTACTTAGACTCAAATAACTTTTTTTTTTGCACAGTGCTCGTTGCTTGGCAACTCCCAACAAAAAGAAGCAAAAATAAAGAAAAATAAAAGATTAAGGGGAGGAGCCTCAAGACATTTCAGCCACCCAGCTGTGGCCGGAAGGCACAGAAACAAACCATCTGGAGGAGAGAGTGAGTGAGCGAATGAGGGAAAGAGAAAGAGGCCCAAGCTGGACATCCTCACATCAAGCATGCTTATCTCTTCTCCACGTTCCAAGACCGTCTCTGTTTCTCTCCCAAGAAACTGTATAAAGAAAGCTCTGCTGCTCTGGCTGTGAGGACAGATTAATGGGGAGGGCTGGGGTGGGGGTGGAAGATATATTGAACAATTACAAATGTTTACTGCGTGAACATCTAAACAACAAGAACTAAGCTTTAGCCAGCACAAACTTCCACACCAGGACTGCATTAAGCTTCCTATTAATTTTTAAAAAGTGACACTGTGTTTTATCAAATCTTTCCAAAGTGTAGAAAGATTTCTTCCTCTCAGTGTCCATAATGTGACCCAGACTAGATAGAGTTTAGCAAGGATTTGAACCTGCCTGGTGGCGTAACCGCATGAATCATGAGCTTCTCCGCAGTCATTCCACCAGTCTGGGTGTGGGTCAGTTATGACCCATCCAGTTAATCCAGCTGTTGAAAACACAGTCCAGCTGCCAGCAAATGTCTTAGGAATGTTGCTCGCATGGCCTCTTCTCCAAACGCTCTCCAAAACATGTTCTCATGAAATAGGAGGAGAGCACTATGATGTAACTGCAGAGGGATTTTCCAAAACTCGCTCATGTAATTTTGTGAACATCCATAACTGTAACTGTACATTCTCATAAAAAAAATAGAACTCAAACATATTACAAAGTTTACATTTATCTGGGAAAATAATGGAAACTTCATGTTATTGTGGAGCTGTGTGAATGTG